TTGGTCTCAAATCTAAGCAATCACATTATCCTGAGTTTACAGGCAAAAGGTGCGTCAAAATTATTGGAGCGCACACACGTGAGGATACACAGGCTAATGAGTTATTGCAATGAACTCAGTACAAGCCACAACTTTTAACAGATTTATACAATCAAACAGCTTACCAATAAGGAATATAGGTCCATTTTCAAAAGGCCATGAGGATAGTAAAATTCCTACAATAGAAATAGAAAATGTGAAGAACAAATTAATCATTTAAAAACAACAAATCAAGGTACATACTTACATTTTAATCAACCAGTGTAGCATTTACAATGCTGCAAGATATTTTCTTAGACATTTTGCAAAGAAGAAACTATCCACCTTTAAGAGAATTTTGATAATCAGCATGAAACTTCTTATCCTCACAAAACATTTATCAATGAGTAATACAATACCTCCAAAATGTGTCTGATCTTGGGAACATCCTTTGAAGAGTCAATTTAGCCTTCTATGCATCAAATCTATTTACAAAAAAAACAAATATTGTTGGTATCATTTCCAAATGTAACATGTAAATATTACGCTTTTACTTGAACAGGTTTACCTGTAAAATCTCCAACATCATCATTTCTAGCCCAATGGGTTGGTTAATATTCATAGCCATATGACAGTCATTGACCTGTGGAGAGTGAGCAGTTTTTTTGTGCTGTTATGAAGGATCTTGTCCATCAAATCTCTTAGGAAGTTATAAGTATTCAACACCTCACCTTGAAAATTTCAATGCAGTCATTTCTCAAAGTATATAATATATTTATTATACGATGCGCAACCTATGCCAAAATAAAAACAAGCTGTAATAAAACATTTCTGAGTTGACTTTTGATGTACTTACAACTTACCAGTTCCTCCAGAATGTGTAATATTACAATATTTGAATAGTATCTAATTAAATGGACAACCAATCATTAAGTTTCAGTTTTTTTACTCACTATGCCAATTTGTTTGGTTTAGTTAACAATAATCAGAGCAAAAGACATTTGTTTTTATAAAAAAAACTTCAACCGTGTGATTTTTTTCAAGTTAAAGTTGGGAACCCATGGGTTGGTTAAATGATCTATGATAAAAAGGTGACAATGAATAAAACGTTTGTTTGCACCAGAAGTTAAATGTTTGCACATTTAACTTTGATAGAAATATTAAAACCCATTTTGGGGAGAGTGGCAACAAACGTTTTTCGGGTTTTTTTCATAATAACAATTAACATTTTTTAAACAGTACATGCAGAACTAAATGACAAAACAAACACTATCAATGCAGACTTCAAACAATGTGCAACAGTCTTTCAGTCCCTAAACCCTGCCTAGATCCACTCAAAATTAGCTAGATCTGAGATTAGTGTCAGGACCCGTGGATTTACAGAGGGGGTCTTCTTTTTTTGTTCCATTCAACTTTTGTTCCCTTCTCTTGATTGATGGAGAAAAGACACCTTCAAGTGTAATAACAAGTATAAATTAAAGTGAAAATATAAGAATAATAAACTAAAATATGTACCTTTGAAGAAACTCCAGTGTTGACCGGAGATCCACAGGGTAGTGAATGTTAAAGCAGAAAAAACTGCCAAACATCAAGCAAAGGGCAGAGGTGAAAGAGGAGATTTCACTGTTGACCACTATGCGATCAATACACAGCATGAAGTTACGTGCAGTAAAGCATGATGACCCTGAAATAGACAAGTTTAGTTAATAGTACATAACAGTTTGAAATACATTTATTTATTCTAATATGTGAATAAACAAAGGCTTTTTAGGAATTAGTTATTAAATTGGTAACTTGATACAGACCTAATACAGGTACAAAATATGAGGATTACTTTGTTTCCCACTTACCACAGACAATGATGCACAGTGTTACTGGAACTGACTCTAACTGAACCTCCTGAGCCAAACATGTGTCCTCAACCAAGTGGAACAAGATTTCCTCTTCCTCTCGAAAGTGTGCCATTAAAAGTAGCACCAGTTGTATGATCTCTTCAGAAGATCCCTCCTCATTGCTTCTCTCAGAGGGAAATTTGAGAAGTCTATCTAAAACTTGTTTGTGTTTTGGGGCAGATACCTTTTTGAGAAAGTTCAGAAAGTTTTCCTTTTTTGTCTACATTTTCAAAAAATGAATTAAACAGCGCTTTGCCCACAAGCTCTTGGTAATGTGTGATCAGTCCCGCATCCACAAACAAGAATGGCCACTCTTCTTTAAGTTGATTCATACTAATCCCTTTATTTATGTGTTGGCGTTGAGTAAAAAATGTGGACTGGATCAAGACTTTCACATCGTCTCCGTAATCATTTCCATCTTTGAACATGCTCTTCATTTTTTTCTGTTTTTCTTGTTGAGACTCAGCAGTCTCTGACAAGGACAGATGTTTCGGGGCCCAGTTCACACAGCCATACATGTCTTGGACACTGGCCTTTTTCACCAATTGATTTTCTTCAGTGTCGTGACTGTCGTCCAGATCAGATATTGCCTTGCGCTTTGTTGCTCTTGGTATTGTGTTTCTTTTTACATTGTCAACTCTAGCTTGTAGTTGCTTTGCAATTGAATCATAGCCTCTTCCAATTATATCCCCTTCAATTACATCTTGTAGTGATGTTGGGTATTTAGCCACCATTCGTTTAGCAATCTCATTCATAGCTCGGAGACTGGGATTATGACAGACCTCCATCACTGCTTTCACAACCGTGCGGATCATTTCACGCCTCAGTCGGGGCGCTGGTCTTTTCTGTCTAGTATTTGTATCAAATCCTCTGGCAGGATTTCCCATGGAATTTGAAACACCTCTAGCCAATTGAGTTGAAAGCGTGGACTGGCAGGTGAACTGCATGATGAGGCTGGGGATTGCGATGTTGCCGAAGAATATAATTTTTGTGAAGGTGGAGTTGAAGGGATGGATTGTGTTTCTAAAAAACAAAACAAAAAAACAAATTAATGAGAAAATGTATCAATATGTTTTCCTTAGAATATTGATATTTTTTGAATATTGAGGTATCACATGAATGTAGCCCATTGGATCAAGTGTACAATTATTTCAGACTTACTGTACTTGGCCCAGGCAGCAACAAGTCTCCTGCACTCACAGAAATATTTAACACTAACTTTTAAGATTTATGTAAATTTATTACAAATTCCCATTCACTTTTTTTTTAGATAATTTTAATACAAACCTACCAAATAAACCTTAAATGATTTATATTCATTAGTGTACTAATGCTAATTTATTTGAAATGCATAATCTTCAGGTATATGCGTTTTGTATTAATAAAATATAATTACTCCAAATTAATTATAAGCAGTGTAATTATTTAAAATACATAAAGTATATTGTTTGAATTACATTTTATTTATGCTTATGTAATAAACCAAATTAGTCAAAATGCATCACATTTATGTAATTTTTTCTCCATTCAGTACGATCTTAATGATGCATAAGAACAATCAGATCACCTTGTTAATTCCACAGATTTATTAACATTAAAGCCTCTCAATAGTCCAAGACATGGAGCTGTTATAGGACAGAACATCCACAATCCTTGTGGTCCACTTAAAACGTATTTTCTTCAATATTAATGTGCGTACAAAAAACTCCATCTTTCTAGTCCATCTCATGCCTTTCCATCCTACGTTTTTCCTCCATCCAGAACTGGGCTAACCACCGTTAACCTTTATAGTCCTCGCTAGTTCCACATTGGAGTGACTAAACTGTAAAAATATATGTAAAACACTTTTCTTGGAAATTAAAATTATATAAAAAAAATGGGTATATAAATCATGACATGAAGCAAAAACACAAACAAGTCCAATAAATGTCAAATAATTCGGCTCAACAGAGCAAAGTGCAAAACTGCCAGTGCAAAAATTCTATAAAACTTCCTATCCAGCCAATACATACTCCACTTGTAGTCTTTGCAGTTTTGTTTCTGATGGTTTTATGGCATGCAAATTAGGGTCTGCATGAACATAAACGTAAAAGGTATTGTAAATGTAGTTTGTAAGTATTGTAAACATAAAAACAGTAAATGTAACTTTAACAAATATTGGAAACCTAAAACTTAATTACATTTCCCCTTTTCATTCTTCACTTCAGAAGTTAGGTTTACAATTCACAAGCTACGGTTACCATACTTTTTTTTTGTGTTTGGCGTTCCCAAAGCCCTAGATGGACAACTTTAACGTGGCAAATGTGGCAGCCATCTTGTGAATGGCTGATTAGCTGGATTATTATTGAAAGTAATGCAAGAGGCAGAAATGTCAATGAAAAAAGTAAAAGATTGGATAATGTTGGAATCCTAACAACACAGGGAAGGGCATCCGTCTTTATCAGGACATCCTTTTCCTGAATTTTGAAATTAACCTACAAAAACACTGCACTGGGCTCCGTTTTATACACTATTTTTGCATGTCAAAATTCAAAATATTTATTTTCTAGATATTTTCTTAATAATGTTGAACATAAAGGTTCGATCAGGAATATGTACCTTAAAGTCAAATAATCAATGTCAAGGAAAATAAAATGAAGACTATTAAAGATCTTTTGGGATGAAAACATAACCGTAGCTCAAGTGAAGAAAGAAAAGGAGAATTGTAAATGTAAGTTTTACATTTACAATAATTTTTTTTGTTTATGTGCATTTACAGTTCTCTTTATGTTTACAATACTTACCACCTACGTTTACAATATTAATTTTACGTTTACATTTACTCAGACCCCAATTTGACGCCATAGGGTAATGTTTAAGAGAAAATATTGCCAAAACTAGGGTCTTGTTTTGAAGGCATTTTGGCCATAGTTTCCCTTCAATATTAGAAAAAAAAATGTTTGAGTGATGACAGGCTTTCACAGGAATTGAAGCACCTTTTTGGAACAAAATGTCTTTAACACACAACTAGCTCCCATTGAATCTGGTAACAATTCAAGATAAATATGGTTTGAGCTTAGCAACTACAACAATGCCTGCTAGCACTAGAAACTACCCATCTGTGAACCCACCTACACAGCCATGCTCATACATCACAATACATACCTCCCCTGTTAAATGCTTGGACACCAAAATAAAAAATAAAAAAAAAACAGGCATTTCCCTGAAGCACCCTTCAAGAACTAAGGGATCATTTAAACACAAGATTTAAAAAATAAAGGGAAACTCAGGTATGGGCTGTGTAAGTTCATTATTGCCCGTCAAATCAGTGGAGCAATTTGAGTTTCAGTGCCTGCACTTTTGGTGAAAGCTTGCTTGAGTCAAGGTCCATCAAGATTTTCTGGTATACCTCAAATGTACTCTTCAGGCTTTTTGGATAGCTCAAGTTGAGTGCGTAGATCAGTCCATAAAGCATCACACAAGCATGGCTGACACTCTGTAGATTATGGAGAACTTTCACACCTTCCAGCACAACTCCGACATCAGCAAAGCGTCCATCACCTGGAACATCAACTTCTGCTTGGACTGTGTAGATGCCCATGGTCTTCTCGCCAATGTCTGCCTCAGCCTCTCTGGATTCAATGTCCTGGAATATAAAGAACAGAATGATGGGCTGTGTGACCCTAACCTTAACCAAAATCTAAGCAGACCATCCCTAATAGATCATTTCTAAAATACCTTGATTACCTTCATTGACATGGTTTCTATACACCTGTGCCAGTTTCAAGACCAGGCAGCAAGCAGTCATGGTCCACATAGTTAGGACCATGACTGAAAAACAATAAAAGAAATATACAGCACCAAAACTTAACTCTACTTCAGAGAACAGGACGGCACTTTGATATGAGTTAAGTTTTGGTGCCGTTTATTTTTCTTATGAATAAGATTTATATGCTGGGTTGCATGTGACATCACAGCATTCTAAAGACCTATAATATATGGAGATAAATTTCCTATAAAACAAAATAATTTTGTCTTTTACATAGAGATCATGGACCCAGGGATTAATGATAATATTTTTTGTAGTTCATACATTTACTTTTTAGATATCACTTGAAAAACTGGCTCTTGCCCCCCAACTGGGTCCTGTGACATCAAATTCTAGAACCTGAAACCTAGCAATTGCTTTTCTTTATTGTTGTTCACATTGTTCGCAGGAAAAATTAATTAAACCGTCCCACCTTCCTGGTTTTGAAACTGGCATAAGTGTACGGAAACCATGGTAACAAAAGGTAATCAAGGTATTTCAGACATGTTCTATTTGAAGAGCTTTAAGGCACAGTATATATGCGTTCATGAGAATGAGATGGATGCGAGTTCATTGTAACAATGACCCCAAGACCTTTTCTCACCTAAAAGCCTGAAAAAAAAAACAAATTCCAAAAATGTTAAGGAAGCATTTTGTGTTAACATAATATACAGCCCATTCTCAAATTGTGCACAGTTAAAAATCTGACAATTGACCTTTGGCTAAGCCCTGCCCCAAGTTACTGTTGCTATGTCAAATAGATTAACGTCTGGGCGCTGATATCAACGTGGCTTATTGCTGCAGTAGTTCATCCGAGTAAAACAGTCCATTGATAATATTGTGAATCCAAGTTATTTATTTCTCTAAGGAACTAATATGTACAACAGTTGTGAGATGTTGATAGTGGACTCAAAGTTCACACCGGGATAAACTGCACTATGGTAGGCTACGGATTTATCCCCGTTTTATATCCTAGGGTTCTGCCGCAAAGTGGCTAAAATTAACCAACACGGTGGCAGTGGTCTCCTTCAAGACTACTATAACAGTGTGTAACATTAATGTTAGGTGTTTGTAGCTTGAACAACAACGTTAAGATCAAGCTGCTCGTCAAAACATATCTTTACAATCCTAACGTACGTGCTAGCTATGCTTGGTTGCTAGCACCTTGGTTCTTCATTAATTAGGTTAGAGAACCGAAATCATAACCTTAACAGGAAGATTTTTGCTTACGACCCAACTGTAAAGTTACATTAGTTAGACAATTGGAGCACACAAAAGTACGTTTGTTGATCCTTGAAGAATTTTAGACGACTGTGCGGACGACACGTTTTCGGAAGGTGAAATAAACACCCTTGTACCACGCTCTGGGAAACACATCTGTGTTACAAATACCCCAGGCACAATGTTCAACAATATTTAAATAAAACTCGGACGGTAATAGCTTGCTGAAAGCAAAAACAAGAGACGCCTGTGTTAAAGTCAATGGAGAGCTGTCAAAAACTATCCAACTTTTGTGGGAGCCCTTTGTTTGCTGCGCCCTGGGGTGTGGCTTGACCAAAGGTAAATTCTTAGTAGTAGTCTTGGTCTCACGTGTTTATGGGCTGATCCTTCACTGAGGGTAAGGTTCTGTGGTTCTTTAAGACGGAGGGATTTCCGGGGAGAGTGCATAAACTGCTCTTTTACCAATAAAGCCTTTGACCTGCAATAAAAAACAAACATTAAAATTAAAAAACGCCAACTATAAACATATATAAAAATACATAACCAGGAATCATCCAGATTTTGTTCAGAGATCAGTGATGTAAATACCCAGTAGCTGTAAGACCCTAATAAACATTGGATACAGGAAAATGGATTGAAGGAAAAGACAAACCTCTCCAACCCCTTTTTCCCTCTTTTCTACCCTCCAGCAGCTCTACTCACCTCTCTCTCGTAAGCTCTTATAGGGGTAAGGTTTACTCCTATCCAACCTTCTCACTCAATTCAAATTCATGAAGGGGTCTTGTCAGATGTTTAAGTTTTAGCCAGGACACAATCAACGTGTACCTGATAAATCACTAAAAATAGTATGGTGCAGGAAATAATATTGCAATATTCCAGTCAGGAAATAGTGCAGTTTGTGCATCAAGCCTAGTGACAAAACTTGACCTTGTGATGTTAACAGGGGAGGTGCTGGGCAGCACTGAGAAGTTTAAATTATTAAACTTTTCAGCACCTGTACAAAAGTGAGTGGTTGGCCTACAAGTTGAAGGAAGGACAACAGGGAAGAGAAAGGACCAACCTTTCCCTATCCTAACATTCTCTCTCTCCCTTCACCCCTTACTTGTCAGAAATGACCCCTACTACTAAATAGATTCAGCCCCTACAGCAAAAACAATACATGCTTTCAAATACACTGCTTTAGGGCTTACCTCTTGACATGCGTCTTTGGCTTTACTGATTGCCTCATATCCTCAGCTGCCTTTTGACAGAGAAATACAATTACCCCATTATTTTTATCAATGGACAACAGTGGCAATTGCTCATCAACTACAAGGGATGCTGAACTTCCCCTTTTAAATTTAAAAAAAAAAAAAAACTGATCAGTCTTGTATTGGATACAGTTCCAATTAACATGTCCACATACTTGCCATATCTTCAAAGACGACAAGAAGGCCTCTTTCTCTTTGATGTTCTCAAGGCGCTGGAGTTCGTAAGCAGACAGTCCACAACATGCATCCTATTGATTACCACACAAAACAAACACAGACAAACATTGAACAAAAAACTGCTGGTTCATAAGAACAATGAAGTGTCCTCACCTTGTTGTTTGAACGAAAACTGTCGTCCTTGGCATAATGGAGGCTTTTAGATGCCAGGACCCGGCCCACTGTATCCTCTGGCTCCTCTGAACTAAGTGGATTTACTTCCTACAAAGTGACAAAACTACCACCGTTGGCCTTGTGGGAAATTCTCATTCTAAACAACCCATTGGACTCAATCGTGAACTACTGGTGGTCATGTCAATGCATCCTCATGTCCATCCCATTCTCATGAACGCTACAAGTTATTCTATCTGGATAGAAATTAATTACATTTTGCAGAAAGGACAGTAGGCTGAACATCTTACCATGTATTCTTTAACCAGTGTGTCCAGATCTTCATTGAGGTAGATGCTCAGGCATCGAAGCACACAATCACGCCTCACGTTAATGTCTTCATTCTGAAAAGAAAACAAAACATGCTTGTCAGTGTCAAGAGACGCACTAACAGCTCAACCGTACATGCTTATCAGATTAGACAACAACAAAAAACATCCTTTAGACTGTGGGGATTATGTTTACGATTTTTATGTGAATTAAAAGTACCATATATGTTTGACTGATAAGTACATCCCTCAAACATACAAGTCACATTTTCATACTGCCTAAGGTGTTGATTAATATGACTAAAGTATTCCTTCTCTGTTGAAAGTTCTTCACACCCCACATGTCTGACATGAGAACGTAGTGGACTGAGCACCTGCTGTGTCAAACTTGTGGTGTGTTCGATATGTGTGTGTCAAAAGTTGCTTCCAGCTTATGAATGTGCAAGGACAGTCTAGATATACACAGGTATATCGACCTGTCAAGCTCTGGTGGAAATGTCTCAACCTAAAATGTTTTAATAACTCATACCTGGTAGATAACGAACTGTCACACAATTTGCAAGGCCACATTCACACAGCACCTGTGAATGAAGACAAAGGACAACATATCAATTAGGTTATTTGTAAAATCAGCTGCCTTTCAGCCGAGTTTGTTGTTAAGGTTTAACAGCTTTCATGTTACAAAAAAGACATTCAAAAAGCCAGCTCCTTTTCAAGTTTTTTGAATCATAAATCAATCATTTGTGCTTTTAACTATACTTACTCTAAATGTTTCCAATTTATATTGCAAACAATTTTAACCACACATGAACTGTAAATTAATATGAACTACAATTAAACTGTGATACATTGTTCACTTATACTTACAAACTATGTTGCCACGTGGAGGTGAGCACACGAATGAGACAAATACCCCAAGAGTTAGGTATCTGGGAAAAAAAAAAATAGAGAAGTGAGAAGAAAATTGGCATCAAACATTCATTTCTGAAATTCAAGCCAGTATTTAAATAAAGTACTCTATCACCTAGCTAACCATCATATTAGAGTCCAGATTCTTGACTCAATTCTTCTTCAGTTCTTTACATTAATTAATTGCAGTTACATAGCTCAGTTTACTATGTGAAAATTGTTTTCATACAACTGACAACCATTACAGAAAATGGTAGCTAACTTGTTAGCTACGATGCTAACGCGCGACGGTACACGCGACGTGACCAAGATTAAGCTGCTTACAAGAATCACGAACTACGCAGATACAAATACATACATTATATAATATTGATGTGAGATAAACTGCACGATTAGGAGTAACTACACACAGGATATCTCGGATTACTTACCTTCACATGGACGACTGGAAGGGCAACCCACAAGTGCCTGAAGTGCCTGAGCGCGAGAATTCAGCGGAAGTGAAAGGCGCTGTTTCCGGTTTCTCCATTTCACTTCACATAACTTCTACGAAAATCAATCACATAAATATTAAATAAAATATTCTTGTTTGTTTTATAACTTTGATTATTTAAATAATGTCAGTATGTATTAACTAATTACATTTAATACATTTCAGAATTGATTAAATTATGTAGATTAAAATTATTTTTAATGCATACATTTTAAGAATATGAGTTTTTAAATAAAATCAAATAGATGTAAATGCATAAAAATGAACTCTGGCATGAATCATTTCTGTGAGTGTGGCTTGCACTGGCTTCACAATTGGTACCAGGTCCTGCTCCGTTATGTACTGCAGATCGTCAGCAGTCTCTGTACCCAGGGTCTTCAAAGCCTCTTCAATGGATCTTACATCTTGAACAGAAAGATCCATAAGCACTGCAGTAATTGCATGTCTTATTTGACTGTATGAATCCTCCATATCTGCAACAGAAGATTGAAGAGCTTAGTTGTTTAGAAATCACATCTACTCTGACAATATGCTGTGCTTCAAAGGAACTATCTTGTATGAATCTTTCACATAAGCAGGTAATGGCCACAGGTCAACAAAGTCATTGATGTGGAAACATCGCAACAATCCACTGTCTATCACAGAATACATATGGTATTGTGAAATATACTCTGCTGAATATAGTTTAATCAGAAAGTACAGTGTCGTGTTCTCTTTTATCACCATAACAAGGATTTCTCCAAACTCCACACAATCATTATTCTTGGTAACCAAAAAGGATCCTTTTTTGTATGTTATCCCGTTGAATGTAACTTCGGAATGAGTCTTAGCGTTTGTTTCAGTGAAGCCACATGGCATGAATGCATTTTTAACCTCCTGACAATAAAGTTCTGTCAAAAATGATGATCCCACTTTTAATGTCAATGCTGTTGGAGTTACAGAACCAGCAGAAAGATAAGCTTGAAACATTTCGCTCTGAAAGCATTTTACACAGATTTTTAAAGTTCTTCAAATTACGCACACATCTTTTAAAATAACTATGTTTGCTTTCAAAGCGCATGGTCCACAACCTCATCAATGGTCCAAAGTTTAGAATCAGACCAGGGTAATGTAGCATGTAATGATGTTTTGGCCTCAATTTACTTTCTGGAAACAGACATTTTCTCGACTCCAGATATTCTTGTATCAGAGCATTAAGGTAGGCAACCTGAGGCACTGATATCTTCTGGGCACAGATCAAATCAACTACATCTTTTAACTGAAGAGTCAATTGCCACACTTCATCTTCGGGATCTTTTATTTTGTCACCAATTAATAAAGGCATCAGCCTGAGAAAATTCCAGTTTTGTATTGCATGGCCTGAAAGTCTCAGACCAGCATGGCTGACATCACAAGGTCTGGAGGAAGCATCATTCATCTGATATTTAAACTGTCTGATCCGTCTGTTTAAAGTAGTGTATGTGAACCACTTCTTTTTTCGAATGAAGTAACGCAGGTAAAGAGCAACATCATAACATAAGACACCCTCAAATATATCATGCCCAATACAAGGGGGTAGTCCAGGTTGACAAACATCAAAGTGTTGAAGATCATTAAACACTGACCTGAATTTGATTCCATTTACCTCTGGTCGATCTTCTTTTAACTGGTCCAAAGCAGTCTGATAATTTTCAGGGGTGCGTGATGGTCCACAAGATGTGCAGTCTGTATGGAAGAGGGTTCGAGAAATTAGACAGTATCTGCAGAAATACTCAGAAGTACTGAAATTTTCTGTATATCCTCCAATACAGTGTGATCCTAAGTTGTCCCCTGAGATGCAGTAAAGGCTCCCTTTAACATTTCCTGTAGTGGTATTTATCCCTTTTACCTCTAGCTCTTTCAAATCACCCACCAACGCAGAAAACATTTTTGAATGGCCAAATAGTTTGAAATCTTTCTCGTGGCATAAGAGTACCAGCTGCATGTGATCAACGTTGGAACGTATATGAGCTGGGAAGTTTAGAAGTGACAGATACACCGCCAGAATTTTATGTTTCTTTTTTGCTGAACCCAGAGGATTCACAACCTCAAAAGAATCCTGATATAAATTCAATTTGAGACTATTAGGGTTTTCTTGAAAAAAGGGATTGGACTTAAGCACTTTGCCATCATATACATCACACAATATGTCAGGTCCAGACTGAGAATTTTCAGCCAAGAGCCCTTTCCAAAAATCAGACAGCATTATGTTTTGTAAAGTTTGTAAAACTGGGACATAAAAAGCAAATCTGTCTTTGCGGTTTTCATCTTTACCCAAAACAATCTTTTGTGGCTCAACATATTTGAACATTTCTTTAAAACACTGATTTCTTGAGTATGATGTCCTCATGTGTCCTGTATGACAGGCAGAGAACAAATCAGAGTCACTCATTGCAGAGACCACCTTCTCAATGTCATCATTGGACAGAGATAGGCTCTTTAGAATGTCTTTTATTTTATTTACAGTATATGCCTGTCCCAACTCGTGGATATTCTGAATTTCCTCTACGATGGTTTGAATGGTAGAAGCTGGAACGAGTTGTTGGCCTTGTAGTTTCATGTAAAACATACAAACATTTCTGAGAAACAAGTCGTTAAAATTGGACACCTCCGCTACACCTGAGTCATTTGACTCAATTTCAGTGTCCAATGTGAGATCAGGCTGTAGCGTAGAAGGACCCACGTGCCCGGAGTCAGCAGAGTCACGTGTGATAGCACGCGCTGTGCAGCCTCGGTGTTTCCGTGACATATGAGCGGTAAACGAAGCCTTTACGGTGAAAACACGAGCGCACCCTTTTACCGGGCAGCAAATGCTTCGACCTTCCGCAATGTGCTCTTTTATGTGAACGATCAAGTCTTTTAAATCGGCGGCACGATGTGCACACAGAGATACTGGGCAGTCAATCGCCAATAACGGGGAGATTTCACGTACCGGCTGATTACGATAATGTTGACGATAGAAGTGACATTTTAATGCAGCATGAGATGTAAATGAGTCCTTACAATCTGCCGCTAAACATTTAAAAATACAACGTGGTTCATTACGGTGAAGTGAACAATGGGAGACGTAAGCCTTAACAGAAGGCACAGTTATATTACAAATAGGACATGAATACATACTGCAGTGTAAATCAAGTCCTTATTGTACGTACAAAAGCATTTGTGTTGACAAAACACGGCGATAAAAGAGTACTTACGGGGCAAACTTCTTATGGATGGTGGCTCTCTCCGAAAACACAGCGATGCTTCGTCACCAGCGGCTTCTACTGCACGCGCTGGCTCCGCCCCCAATGCTAAATCGAGGTCGGTGATAGGACAGTTCGAATTCTGGCGCTTAGATTCCCTCCAATTTGCGGTGGAGTCAATATAAAGTTTAATATATAATGCTGTGTAGAATGGATACAGCTTTATTATTAGACAAGGGAGAAGAGTCAGATAAAAGATTTCACCACAAACCACTACTCACATTTGTAAAAAAGTACATTTAAGTTTTAGATATATTGGCACAAGCAAGGGTCTTATAAGAGAAAAAAGTGATGTTGCTTCAACAGTGAATTTCACAGCGCTTCTACTGCATACTTTGACTCCTCCCAAATACTAAACAAAAGTCTGTGATAGGACGGTTTAAAAATGTGTTGAAGTCAAGATGAAGTTGAAAGTAAATTATGTTGTATAATAGACAATAGTGAAGAGTCAGATTGCTAAGATTTCACACCACTTGAAGTAAATAAACTGTTTAATTCTTAACTTTTGAGAGCAGTTTCAGTGACAGACTAATTCACCCTCGCTGTTTAAAGGAGAGGTCTTTCCTTCATGCTGCTGTCAGACTGTACAATGAGAACTGCTGCGCCTGTTAATGTCATTCATCTGTAAATAAGTAAATGCTAAAATCCTGTGTAATGTGCAATACTGCAACTTCAGAATGTCACTGAACAATGTCGCTTTACTTATCTACTTATTATCCTTCCCTATATGTACAGTAAATATATATATATATATATATAAAAATACAACATTTAAAAATACAACGTATATATATATATATAGGCCTGAGCCCCGAACGGGGTAAGGGCCTATTGCTTTCAGAATGGCAGAACAACAGCCAATTTAATATGCTATAGGAGTTGTCGGAGGTCAAGTTTGTGGTAGAGCCATGAACTTTGATACACATGTTCATCAAATCAAGACATGAAAATAATGTTGTTATGGCCACGCCCTATGACAAACAGGAAGCCCATGAATTTCATTGCAAAATGGAAAAATGAACAGCAATAATTTTCACACATATTGGTTGGAAAGCAACTCCTCCTCGGCCGTTTCGCAGATTCGCCTCAAAATCGCTCCACATCATCACAACACATGTACCATCAAAATAACTTCGGGGCTTTTTGATCAGTGAAACGTTGTTTGCCTAAGGACACAATGGCAGCAGACAGTGGGAGTCGATGGTGAAGGTCGGGCTCGAACCCACGACCCTCTGGCTCAAAGGGTAATGCTCTACCAACTGAGCTACTGTCGCCTCAAATACAAAGTCTGATTTGCACAGAACTTCAATACATTGTTCAACTCTAGGGTCTAGGTCATTTGAAAATGAAATGATTCAAATTGACATATTAGTACCCCCTACAGACTATTTCAAAGATTTATATGGAAATTTTCACATTTAGTTTTTTTGAAATGTTTGAAATTTTGTACATAAATCTGTTTTGTCCTCTTGTTTCAAAAAGTCCAAGAGACCCAAAGCTTATTTTTTACCTTTTTGTTGTGGCGACGACAAACACTCCCCGTTCTATGTTAATGGCAAATGTACACCTCGCACAAACGTCAAACCAGCCTCGGCCGTTTCACCGATTTGGCTTAAAATCGCTCCACATCATCTAAACACATGCACCATCAATACTTGCTCGTACAATTTTCATTAGTCACATGGTCATGTGACTGAGCTCCTCACCCAATCTCTTAGGGAGCGCCCAGCTAATCTGTGGAAGAAGCTCCTTTCAGCCGTTTGTATCAGTGATCTCGTTCTTTCGGTCATTACTCAAAGCTCATGACCATAGGTGAGGGAGGGAACGAAGATTGACCGGTAAATCAAAATACCGGTCAAACCACAACGGTCAATCTAACGTTCCATCCTTCCCTCACTCGTCAACAAGACCCCGAGGAAGGACCTGTCCACCTTCTTGGAGGTGCTGGTTTGTTGGAGCCAACAGGACAACATTGTCCGCAAACAGCAGAGATGAAATCCTGTGGTCTCCGAACCGGATCCCTTTCGACTCCTGACTCACTGCCGGCATTGCGAATACAGGGACCAAACGGCCCTCAGCACAGGACCCCGGACCCCGTACTCCCGGAGGACACCCCGGGGAACACGGTCGAACGCCTTCTCCAAATCCACAAAGCACATGTGGACAGGTTGGGCAAACTCCCATGAACTCTCGAGTATCCGATGGAGAGTGTAGACCTGGTCCAGTGTTCCGTGGCCGAGACAAAAACCACACTGCTCCTTCTGAAGCCGAGATTTGACCATCCGACAAAGTCTCCTCTCCAGTACCTTGGAGTAGACCTTTCTGGGGAGGCTGAGGAGTGTGATCCCACGATAATTGGAACACACCCTCCGGTCCCCCTTCTTGTAGAGAGGGACCACCACCCCGGTCTGCCACACCATTGGCACCGCCCCCGATCGCCACGCGATGCTGCAGAGATGTGTCAGCCAAGACAGTCCTACAACATCCAGAGACTTTAGATAGTCAGGACAGATCTCACCCACTCCTGGAGCCTTGCAACCGCGGCACAGTCCTCCAGCCTGACGGTACACCACCGGGTTCGGGGGTTAATGGCGGGACCAGCAACTGAGATCTTGTGACCACAGCTATGAGCTGCCGCATCAGCGATAGAGGAAGAGAACATGGTCACCTCAGACTCAATGTCCCCCTCCTCCGCCGGGACCTGGGAAAAGCTCTCCCGTAGGTTTGAGTTGAAAGTCCGTCTGATAGGGGGCTCAGCAAGATTTTCCCAGCAGACCCTCACTACACGCTTGGGTTTGCCAGGTCTGACTGGCTTCCTCCCCTGCCAGCGGATCCAACTCGCGACCAGATGGTGATCGGTTGACAGCTCCGCCCCTCTCTTCACCCGAGTGTCCGAGACACGGGACCGAAGGTCAAATGATACAACAACAAAGTCGATCATCGACCTCCGGCCTAGGGTGTCCTGGTGCCACATGTACTGGTGGACACCCTTGTGCTCGACATGGTGTTCGGCGCATTGTCCAGTACACCTCCCAGGTACTCCAAGAAGGCCAGGTACTCTGCACTGCTGTTTGGCCCGTAGGCCGTGAAAACAATGAGAGACTTGCCGCCCCACCCGGAGGCGGAGGGACGCGACCCTCCCATTCACCGGGGAGAACTCCAACACCGGGCAGCCGAGATGGGGGTGCAATGACAATGGCCACCCTCGTTTGCCGCCGCTCCCCGCAAGAAACACCAGAAAAGTTGGTATCTCTCAACCTCCCCCACAAGCTCGGGCTCCTTCCGCACTGAGGTGACGTTTCACGTCCCAAGAGCCAGATGTTGTGTGTGCGGACTGGGTCGCCGAGGTCTGCGCCTTCGACTGCTCCCCAGTCCTCTCTGGACCTGACCACCTCGGATCCCTCTGTGAGTGGTGGGTCCACAGGAGGGCCTGCCCACGTCGTCCTTTCGGGCTGAGCCCTGTGGGGCCCCGTGGGCTAAGGCCCGGCCACCAGTCACTCGCTTTCGAGCCCCGACCCTAAGCCTGGCTCCAGGGTGGGGCCCGGGCAGCGCCATGCCGGGCAACGTGACGATTATTATCTATGGGCTGTGCTTCGTCTGACTCGTCACCCGAGACCTGTTTGCTATGGGAAGCCCTACCAGGGGCATAAAGCCCCAGACAACATAGCTCCCAGGATCATCCGAGTACTCAAACTCCCCCACCACGCTAAGGTGGCAGTCCAGGGGGGAACCATTGATTGAGCCAGATACGCTGTCATCTTTGATCGCCGGGGCTTTGAAAAATGCCAGTGACACTTGTAAAGGGTTGATTGGGAAGAATGGCCCCCCTTATCTGAACCCTAGCGGCATTCATTTGTTGGACTTCTGTGCTAGTCACAGTTGGTCCATAACGTACACCATGTTCGAGCTTAAGGGGGTCCACCAGTGCACATGGACACCCTAGGCTGAAGGTCGATGATCGAATTGGTTGTTGTATCATCTGACCTTCCCTCAAGTATACATACAAGCTTCCGGGAGAGCTTTTCCCAGGTCCCGGAGGAGGGGGGGGGGGACATTGAGTCTGAACCATGTTCTACATTTCTAATTGCCCGTGCGGCAGCTTGTTGCTGTGGTCGCAAGGTCTCTGGTACTGGTCCCGGCGGCAACTCCCAAACCCGGAGGTGGACACCATTAGTAAGGGATGCAGTCAGAGCTGCTGAACTCAACTGGGAATACTGTTTGGCAGTGGAAGGAATACTTCGAGGTTTTCATCCCCTCGTTGTGTCCTCCGTCCCGGAGGCATAGGCTGAGGATGTCGGGGCGGATACTTCCATCTCCCTGGCTGATGTCACCAAGGTGGTTGGCAGCCTCCTTGGTGGCAAGGCTCTGGGAGTGGATGAGATCTGTCCTGACTTTAAAGTCTCTGGATGTTGTAGGATTGTCTTGGCTGACACGTCTCTGCAACATCGCGTGGGGATCGGGGGCGGTATGAATGGAGTGGCAGACCAGGGTGGTGGTCCCTCTC